GAATTTATATAATCATGTTACCCCACAACGACTTGTGAATTATTTTGGATCACTACAGGAAAGAATTGACAGTTAACATGCCACTGATTCAGAATTTGAATAGAAATGTTCTTTACACAATTAAAAGCAAGATGTTCCAGACAATTTAATCTTTATAAGTTCAGTAAAGTACCGGTAACACAATTGCTCATTCAAATATAAAATGCCAAATTATTTGCTACAGTCACGCCTGTTTTTGTGTTTTTTTTTCTTTCTTTGGTATATAAATTTTTAAAATAAAGGAAAGATCCACTTAAAAACTGATAAACAATAATTTAATGTTAATATATGAGTAATATATGTTTAGCATAATAACAACAAATTTGTAATCATATTTAATTTTATTGCAAATTACAAATATCGTAACACTTCTCACTAATAAAATACAAAAACATGTTCTATAATCATACAAAAATATAATAAATGGACGGAAACAGAGATATGAAAAAACTAATAAATAATTAAAATAAAAATACATTTGTATATTAGTATCAGAACAAATGAGCACTCCAAGAAGTTTTTGTCTTTCTAATTCATGTAAAAACTCCTGGTCCAGTGAAAACTTCAAAGTTGAACATTTTCAGATTGATGAACATTATAAAGTTTTAGAATAAGATAGTAAAATGTATAACTTAAGTTATTTCATCTTGTATAAGGCACTGTAATTCCACATGAATTATCTAAAATTGGTTAGATTATGAAATATTCTAACACGACCCAAATTTTTCCCTATTGAACTAGTGTGTGTAAATATGGAATAAAATCACTGCTGTCCATCTAATTTTAGACATGTGACATAATCATTAAAATGCGACACACTGAAAATAAGTACAGAAACAAATCTGGCACAGTTCAGCTTGCATAACAAGGTACGGCTTTATTTATTTGATGATGTCCGGTTAAAATCAAAATAGTTCATCCCAAGCAGTGATTTTGTCGCCTGAGTAAAGTCACTGTCATTCAGGTGCACAGTATTATATCATGAGGGCAATAAAATCACTTGGAGACATATTATTTGAATTATTTCTTAATTAGTTCTTTCTTGCCTAGTTAATTACAGCATGAAAATATAGCAAAAACAACAATGAATAAGCTAGATTTAGACTAACTCCTGCAAAATCATGGATTGTGTGTTGTAATGCATTACTTAAGCTTTTGCTTCATTTTTTCCGTAACTATTTTCTCTTCTTGATCCATGCAGTTTCAATACATTATTGAATATACATGCATCTATATTTCTATCAATTATTAATATTTCAAAATAACTACAACAAAAAATCTGGAATGTATAAATTAATAAATTAGAAAGAGATTCTGTCATAAATATACACAAGTTTTATAGTTGAAAATCGACAATTTTTATCATGCCCTAGCACAAGATTACAGGTACAGCAAATTTAAGAACATATAAATAGACAATGTGTTTTAAATCACCAAAATTTAGCTAAGATTATTAAATATAATCATCATAATTTAAGTTTTTTTCTTTTAATTTTGAGGCCATAATCTTTCTTAGTGTACACTGATAAGGTATTGCAAGTTAAGTTATAAACAAGCAAGAACACAAGGTGCATGATGATGTATGAATAATTGTTCTAAACTTTAGTTCTCACTTCCTGTTACTGTTAGCTTCACCTCTTGTGACACAATGTTACATTATGGTACAGTTCAGCTGTATTAAAATGCCACAATCATACTCGTAGACTTTGTCTGGCTTTATCCAGGATTTCTTTCTTGATTTTTGGATAGTTTGGATGACTTCCCAGTACCTTTAAAATGAAAAGAAACAATGAAAATAGATTATAAGAAATGGCGTATAACCCATTTACAGTATAAAGACTTTTTATTATTTGTGTGTGGTTTAGTTTTAAGTCATATAAAACAAATTTGAAGTGAAATGGCAGCTTTATTGGTTAGGGAAGCCTTTCTGTGCATTATGTAGGTCACAACACAGTAGGCAAGTAGAACCACCAACCTTTCCGTAAGTTAAATGGATAGCTTCCTCACATGAAAAAGTGCAATATCCCTGCTTTGATTTGAGCCCACATTGGACAGGGGTAAGTTCTTTAAAGTTTAGTTAGCGACCTTAACCCCTTAGCTAAGGCGGTTACTTTATACAGAATGAAATTCACATACAAGTTAACAACTGAAAATATGGATACTTCTTATATGAAAAAGAATTTAATTTAATGAATTCAAGTTTTCCAGAAGAACTTTAATTGAATAATTATATTCTACAATCCAAGTATAAACGGTAAAATTTCAGTCTCAAATATTTTGCGTGTAAAATTTGTTCAAGAAATAACATCTCTAACATTAAAGACCATTTATCTTGCTGATTTTAACAATTCATGTCAGTAATGTTGACAGTAACTTGTAGGTTAACTTTATTCAGTGCAAGGGAGACAAATCCTATTTTGAAACCAATTACAGATATAGAACCATCAACCTCATTTTAGCTTGCCAGGTTACATTAAAATTTCCTCTATTTTTGCTGTTATAATAAACACATTCTGTAACAGAAAAAGTGAAGCCATTATAATAAGTATAATGTCAGATCAGCCTTCTTTTTCATGCATTCTGACATTCTGGCTCTATACTGATATTGGGATAATTTCAAGTTTTGTATCCCTAAAATTGCTGATGGATTGTTCCAACAGTTGAAGCTGGACAAATCTATTTCTAAGAATTCCACAGAATAAGGGGGGGGGGCCAAATGGTTTACATGTTGGACTAATTATCTAAGGATCGCTGGCCATGTGAGTTTGAACCCTGTCAAGGGCCAAGCTGTTGTTTCCGTGAGCAAGAAACTTTACTCTCATTGCTTAGTTCTGGTTGGCATGGTTGGTTCCAGGAGTGTTTCAATAAGCTTATAGCTTCCAACACAATCAAACTAAAATAAGTACATTGTAAGTATAAACTAAGGGTTAATATGTGTTATAACCCTCAATACTTACATGATGACATATATCTATAGCATCTACATTTCGTTTTGCCTTCAGGTAGTTAAATGCTAGTTTATAACCTGAAAACATATACATGTATACATGTTTTTCATAAATCATCACTAAATTTTTATAAAATACAAAATGTATACAACCAAAAACAGTTCTAGCAATTTTGATTTTACTGTTTTTATGTTAAATTCTGCTTAAGCTAGTACTAAGTAGCTTTAAACAGTAGCTTGCACCTTGAAGTGCTGTCTATCTAAAGGTTCATGCAACATTTTCAATTTTGACATTTTGGACTTTCTTCAGCAATTCTGTTTTTTTTTCTATTTCATTAATGTCATGTTGTAAACTTATTCCTGTACTTACACCTTTTTTATTTGGAAAATCATAATGAAATGTAATGAAAATAAACAGACAATTTTTAAATAACATGTACATATACATGTACAAATATTTAGTGTGTATCATTCATATGTTCACATCAATTTAGTCATTATTAGTAAACTACAATTTTTGAATGGTACTCAAAGAAATAGTAATATCTATTTCAATTCTATTATGCTTAAAGAAACAGGATAAACTGAACTCACTAATCTTAAGCTAAGAATAGCGCAAAAATACTAATTTCAATTTCTAAATATATTTTTTAATTATCTTTACTCTTCAGTCTCTAAGTGCCCCAGCTAATCTAAAAATTCAAATTTTATGCTTTTAGGTTTTTGGACCTCAATGGAGTTCCTTTAATAAGGAATTAATAGGAACATTAGCAATGTCAATATCTGAACAATAACATAGCATAGAGTAAACAGACTAGCGTGAAAGCTGGCTTAACTGTAATATGCCATCATACTGTTACAGTTACACGCTATTTTATACCTATAACAGGGTTATTTTTGTTTCCATATTTCCAGGCGTTCTCGTAACTCATGGCAGCATCTTTATACGACTGTTCTTTCTCCATGATAAATCCCTGGTACTCATAGCCTTTACAACATGACTGTAAAATATTTCATGTCAATATTTACATTTTTTACTTCTTGGACACTGTCGCTCCAGAAGTGGTCTAATAAGTCAACGTTGTCGGTAGAAAACCTATACCGTTTGCGCAATTCCACGTCCGTCAAGTCAGTCAATTGGCGATCAACGTGTCCAAAGTTTTGCTTAATCAATAATCATTTATGATGTATTACAAATTTTTACTACATCAGGATAGCTAGATAAGCACAGTATATCCTGTTTTTGTAAGAAAAACCTTAATATCTGAATTTACTGAAGCAATGTTGCTAATTTGTGATTATCTTATTACAACTATGGAAGGGATACATTTAATACAGTACAGCCTAACCCATTTTTAAGGTCATAGATGTCTAAATACCTTATTATGTTGAAGCACCCTCTTCAGTAACTCTGTTGACATGTCATATTTACCAGACTGAAAAATAATGTAAAATAAAACTTAACGTATCATACAAAAAATAAAGGTTTTTTCAAGCTATTTTCTTTTATAAAATGCTAAAAAAATTCTCTAATTGCATGTAAATCATTTGAATGGAATTAATGGGAATCAATTTTTCAAAAGAAAAAAAATTACTTTTATTATTTCTAAAAATAAATACCTGGCCATACCCTATCTGAGAGATGACATCAAGGTAAATTTTATGGATATGCAAAATTTCTTTAATAAAAATAATTCAAATCAATAGAAAATAGAGTGTTTCGTTCAAACTCTAAAATGCTTAAGGTAACAAATCATGGCAACCTGTAGATACACATGTATCTATTCTTTGTATTCTTTCTGTTCTATACAAAAGTTAGGGAAAAAATACTTCTAATCATATCATTAAAAGCTTAGAACAAAACTAGAAATGTGTCCATAGGACACGGATGCCCCCACACGCCACTGTTCTGTCAATCTTATGACTCTAGGTCAAATATTTTTTGGACTTAATTCATGTGCCACAAGTTGAAAACTAAAAATCAACAAAGGGCCATAATTCTTTTAAATTTGGTCACAGCAAAAATTCCTTCCTTTACTACCATCTACACATTAAGGTTGTTCATCCCTGTAAGTTTAAGCAAAATCTGCCATGCTGTTTAAGAGGAGTTGCGTTCACAAAATTTCTACATAGTATCTAGTGAAAAAATCAACAAAGGGCCATAATTCTGTAAAATTTGGTCGCAGCAAAAATTCCTTCCTTTACTACCATCTACACATTAAGGTTGTTCATCCCTGTAAGTTTAAGCAAATCTGCCATGCGGTTTAAGAGGAGTTGCGTTCACAAAATTTCTACATAGTATATAGTGAAAAAATCAACAAAGGGCCATAATTCTGTTAAATTTGGTCGCCAGCAAAAATTCCTTCCTTTTTACTACCATCTACACATTAAGGTTTGTTCATCCCTGTAAGTTTAAGCAAAAATCTGCCATGCGGTTTAGAGGAGTTGCGTTCACAAAATTTCTACATAGTATATAGTGAAAAAATCAACAAAGGGCCATAATTCTGTTAAATTTTGGTCGCAGCAAAAATTCCTTCCTTTACTACCATCTACACATTAATTTTGTTTCATCCCTGTAAGTTTAAGCAAAATCTGCCATGCGGTTTAAGAAGGAGTTGCGTTCAAACAAAATTTCTACATAGTATCTAGTGAAAAAAACAACAAAGGGCCATAATTCTGTTAAATTTGGTTGCAGCAAAAATTCCTTCCTTTACTACCATCTACACATTAAGGTTGTTCATCCCTGTAAGTTTAAGCAAAATCTGCCATCCGGTTTAAGAGGAGTTGCGTTCACAAGATTTCGGGACGTACGGACGGACTGACAGATGAACGGAGGGACAAGTGCAACGCTATATGCTCCCACATTGTGGGGGCATAATAAAAGTAATGATTTTAAATTTAAACATTAATTATTTTGTTTGTTTGATTGGGTTTTACGTCACACCAACACAGTATAGGTCATTTGGCGACGTTCCAGCTTTACTGGTGGAGGAAGACCTCAGGTGCCCCTCCATGCATTTTTTCAGGCACAAACGGGCACCTGAGTAGAACACCAACGTTCCGTAAGCTAGCTGGATAGCTTCCTCACATGAAAGAATCCAAAGTCCCTGTCGGGATTCGAACCCACAACATTAATTAATTTTGTGATACTGTATACAGCATTGATATGACCTAGCATAATGGAATTCTAATGATAGTAACAGTGCTAAATTTAACCTGTACCTGAATATAAATATCTGCTAACAATAGCCATGATTTCTCAAGATCTTCTGCATCCTGAAATTAGAGTTATCAATCCTAATATAATGAGAAATCGGAAATAGTGATCATGACTTTTACACCAAGAAGCAAACACATTCATGTAAAATATAAAATTTGGTTCATTCAAGCACACATTTACAACAATATTTTCCAATTACAAATCAGCAGGCAGTCCCTGAACCTTCATGCTTTCCTATTTTTTCCTTCAGATTATGCCAACTTTTCCTTAACAATATTCATTTTGACAGCAAATGTATTAAATATTGACTTAATTGACTATGATGAAAAGGTCATGTAAAAAGACAAGCCAAACCCTGGACACAAGCTGTGAGTCTGAATATCGTAAAATTTCCTTTCTATTCTTAGCTTGCAGAAACTGTGAAACTACCAAAAAATATTTCATCATACCTGCATTGTCCAATTACTCTTAGCTACTCGTTTAAGCTGGTTTCTAGCTCTTGGTGTCTGTTTTAATACCATATAAGCAGCTGCCATACCATACAATGCACTTACATTCTCTCGTGTCTGAAACCAAAGAAAACAAAATGGCTGACATTGATATCATAATTATGTACAGCTTTTCACAATATCTAGAATGTAATGGAAAGAAGAAAAAAAAACTAAAAAAAAAAAAAAAAATAATGTGAAAAGATTTTAAACAAAATTTATAGATGAAGATAAAAGACAACAATGTTTATTGAAAATGTTTTTCAGTAAGTTTTTTTAAGTTATTGACGAGTAAAAGACAAAAAGACAAAAAAAAAAACAACAAAAAAAACAACAAGACAGGACAAACTCAAAAATAACTAAAAAGCATGCACAATCATATATATTATTATTTTCTTTACAAAAAATCTTCAGATATTGGTTATTTAACCTATTTCTTACAAAATCCATGGATTGTTTTGGCAGTTATTGACCCTAATGATCTGCTGATTTTTTTCGTAATGGCTTTGAATTCGAACAGTTCATTTAAAGGAATTATGTCAAAACATAACATTAGAATACCAACAGCTTGGTCAGACTGCACTCATGAGCAGACTGGCCTGGCTATAAACTGATGGCAAAAGGTTAATCAATTTCAACAGGTTAAAAAGGACTTGACTGACACATGGATAGACAAAAAAATTTATTCCCTTTAAACGAAATTACACATTCATAAGTTTTAGTTTTAGTTATATATACTGTTATGACATACAGCTTTTTTTTTGTTAGATGAAAATCTAATGAGGTTTATATCAAATAAACAAATATGCTAATAATGTAAGTCAATATTTCCCTATAAATATCACTCTTATAAAATAAAAATTTTGTTCCAAAATTTTTTATATATGAGAAAGGGGTAAAAAAATTTTTATATATAAATGGAGATAGATATAATTTAAGTATGGGATACTCAAACATGCATGAGATATGCTAATAATGAAAAATGTAAGGGATATGATATGTATACAATATACTCATCAGACAATTATGCCAAATAATGAAAATGTATGAGATATGGTTCAGATAATGCTTATCATTCAATCATATTCTAAAAATAAAGTTGAGATATGCTTAAAGTAAAAACATGCATATTTTTCAAGTGTATTTTGGTATCTATTATAATTGACTATATTTAACATGCCACAATGCACACCTGTTCTTCATCATTTGGGGAAAAGCAAAGATTTTATACTAATGTCTCTCACTAATTACTTAACTTTGACCCGAGATTCTTTATTTTGACCAATCAGACAGTACTATTTCAAAGTTGGTTATCAAAACACTAATTATCATCAAGTAATTATTGTCTCAGAGATCAATCTGTTGGATTTGTAGTCACTCTGATACTATGATTGTCCTATCATCATATGGTGCTTCAAGAGGTTTTGGCTGACATCTGTGGTATCTGGGTGGGGGAACAGAGACCATCAGATGTCTTTTTAAAGATTATTTCTGGCACAAAGATGCACCTTCTGGATGCTTGTTGAAAAGTTTCTTTTCATAAAGAATCTAAGATATAGATCTGCCTAGCTCTTTATTCATTCTCCCCTATGTACTAATCTGCCAGGTAACTTAGAATGCTTTTACCAAGTTGTTTTTCATGAAAATTATTTCATCTGAGAAAATCGTAAGAAGAAACTTACTTTTTTTACTTTTTGTAACATAGAATCAAAACATAAGAAACAAAACAAACAAACAATGTAAAGAAATAAAATACATGCATGCATAGGGACACATTATGAAAAGACGTAAAAAACAGAAGAAAGTTGAGGCTACCTTTGACTTTTTCTCTCGCTGAAACAATGGGTGATTCAAATAATGTGAGACAATAGTAATATAATGTGTAACTGTTAACTTTAATGTCTAGTCTGATCAAAATATGAGACAAAAAAAACAAAAAATACCTTGAAAATCTACAATAAGAGTATATAGTTAGTTCAGGCGTAAAACTTCCGTATTTACATTTCATGACCCTAATAGCAATCCAATCTTAATTTTTTTAAATTCTGTAATGATTTGGTGATTAAAACAATTGAAAAGGTTTCAAAAAGAGAACAGAATAGTTTTCCTTTTAAAAATTGATGAGGAAATAAAAAAAGTTATGAATTTTTAATGCCCATAGAAAAAAGCGAAATTTTAGAATTTCAGTATCCTTATAATATTGATGCAAATATTTGAGGCTATTTATTTATGTTAAGTTCTGAGGATGTTATTTTCACTAAAAAAAATTGAAAAAAAAAATATATAATTCATTGATCCTTGTATTTTGATAGGCTTTTAAGTTAAGGATTAAAATAAACTAACATAACTAAATAACAGAAAGTAAGAAAAACAAAAAGAAGAATCTACAATCAGTGAATACTTATATGGTAATAAAACAATGAAATGTTGGTACATCATTATCTATACATGTATAATAACTCATATATTACAATAACTATAGTCTCCACAAAAGCTACAAAACACTAAAAAAACATACTCAAAGCACAAAGTCTTATCTTTCAATTAAAGAGTACAAAGCTATACATATGTATCTAATTAATGGAATATTTTTTATAAAATTCAAAGCTCACAAAAATAGTTAGTTTCTAAAATAATCAGAGCTTGAAAATCCTTTATATTCTAGGAAAATAATTTCCCCTTCACCTGTTTACATAGGAAATATTCTTTATATATATATTTTTTATTTTTTTTGCAAAACTTTTAAAAATTATATTAAAAATTGCTTTATTTAATTTTTTTTCTATGTAAGTAATAATTCATCTCCTCATATTTTTATGATGCCTGGTTTATATTGTCAATAAATAGTATTTTTTTACCTCATCTGACGCCATTTCCATGAAGTTACTTAGAGCTTTCTCCACATTTCCCTTCTGTTTGGTGGCTATCAGTGCCATGTTCTCAAGGTATTTTGGCCTCTGCTCTCCTGGCTTTGGTTTCAATTCCTTCAAACAGATGATTAATTAATCTAGACAATGAATTATGTCCTGTACTCTATTTAGACCTAGCCTTTCAGACACTAACATTCTCTTATCTTTCATCCTTTTTCCTATTTTTAATTAATTTAAAGCCACATGAAAAATGTGTCCCTCTGTTTAAAAGGTAAGCAACTTAGTAGAACCACATACCTTTTAAAAGTTTCAATGTGTTTAGCTTTCTCTGAAGAATGAACCTACAGGTAATGTTCCTAGCATGTATCAAAAGAGAGTAATGTATTATATAATTTACTCTTTTCATAACCACTTTCAATAATAATAAACTTAAAAGGAATTTGCCACTAGAAGGACATGACAAGTTTTTTACCCCTAATCATATGAAATATTTAATACCTCCATCCTTTATCAGTTACATACATGCCTATATTGTATAGAGTACAAATCAGGGAGTATGTTATACACAAAATAGTTTACCTTGAGTAATTTTTCAGCAGTTCTAACAGCCATTTGTTCACTGTCAGCCTTTTCTCTACTCTCACTAGTACTACTGTAAAACATAAAGCACAGTTAAAATAATGACATAAAAGTAAAGGTAAAACAACATATTGTCCTTTTAGTGCAAGAACAGGTTAACTCATACATATAATTTAATAGGAGTTAACCCGTTACTGCACTATGTGACGATATAAATCAAGATGATACTAACAGCAATATGGGTGAAGATATGAAGATTAAGATTATTTAATCTATAAGACATCTGTCATTTTCACAATTTAAATAACAAATATCAGAATGTATTAATTTATTTTGCTGAACTTACTTTGAGTCACCTTCAACACTTTCAAAAGCCTCGCCACCAATTGTGTCATTATCAGGATTTAAACATATCTCCACCATGTTGTACGTAGCAAGATTACCCCAGTCTGAGTCCTTCCTTGCCATGTTAAACAACTTTAATGCAGATGTTGGGTTCCCTGTGTACCTGAAAAATAATCCCAGACCTCTAGATATAGACAATTGCTGGAACAAGAACTGTTGGACAGCATGCTTGACTATTCTTAGTGATTGATAGTAAGAAAATGGCATGTCTGTAAAAAGTAACAAGCCTGAGCAAATCATGTTAGATAATCATAGAGAACAAGTGTGTGAAGTTTTAACCCATTCTCTTCAGTAGTTTTAGAGATACCAACTTGCAAGCAAAAACTTAATGTGATGACAATGCCAACACTGATGCTGGGATGATTACAATAGCTCTAACAATTCTTCAGCTAAAAGAATAGGCGCCAAAAGTCACTTATAACAATTTGATTTAATGAGTGTTAAAGAGACATAACAAAAAGTACACTAGGGCACTTGACGACAATCATTCTGTCAAAGTTTGGTTGTTATCCATTGAAAAGAAAGCACAGAATAAATTGTTTAGGTCCGAGTATCTGCAGACACTACAATCTGATAACCAAAGTCTCCCAAATAATTTGAGAAACATATAATCAACTGTATGATAATTAACAGACTGGTTTACAGCTTGTTGTTATGAAAATTGCTATGAATATTATATAAGAATTTCACATAATTACCATTCAAATAGACCCTTGCAGTAATTAAAGCCTGCCTCTACTTTAGCTCTAGGTGAGGCATTTTCTGCCAACTCTAAGAATTTTGGAACCTCTTCTAACTTTCCAGCTCTTCTCATCAGATCTACAAGTCTTGATAATGCCTCATAATTATCTGTAATACAGATTAATACTATAATACTAACCTGAACCAAAAGAATGTGTGACAGTAGTACCGATTTAAATTAATTGCCAAACAATCGTTACTGGCCTAAATAAAGCTATAAAGTATTGAAATTAAGAAGGAAACAATAATGAGTATAGTAAGACTGTATGTATATACACAATACACATGATGACATAGCACATTACTGCAGAAACGTATATACACTACCTGCAATTAGAGAAAGTTACTCAGGAGTTTTTAAAACTTGTAGCCTTACAAATTAACTAGAGTGTAATAATCCAACTTTACTTTGAATGTAAATAAAAATGTTTCAAACATATAAATGTGTCAATTGGAAATGTTAAAAATAAACCTCATACCAGCTTTATATTGTAGTAACTGCTGGAAATGGAACATAGCAGAGTCATATTCATTCTTCCTGAACATCAAATCTGCCAACATCTGTAATCATATAATACATATAGTCAATTCTGCAAAACTCTCATGTTGATAAAAGAAAATTGACAAAAGACTACACAATTTTTCAGTTAGTTTTAAAACTCAAGTTACTTTAAAGGAGGAATTATAATGTGTTTCAGAAATAGATCAAACTAAAAACGTAATAATTAAAAACCAACAGTTAATAGAATTTGAGATGAATTGATATTATTTATGCATGTTTCAGTTGTTCAGCCGATACTGACATGATTTTGAGGGTACCAAATTAAACGTTAACTTTTTCAGCAAACAGTATAAAGCCAGCTCAGACTTCACAGTTCAATATTTCTGAACATTAAAGAGCCCCTAAAAAGTATGAGTCTTATTAAAAGAATATAAATTCAGCAACAAACAACTTACAATAGTAGCAGAGTCATTTTCTTTGTCATTTTTCAGAAGTGTCATCAGTTGATGTTGGCAAGCATCCAAGTCTCCTGTTGCTAAATATAGCCCAGCTACATCCAACATTATCTAGAAAATAATATAAGACACAAATGTTACATCTATTAACATACCCTCATCACCTCAGACACAAATGGTGGCAGCTGATTATCACTTGTTAGTTAACAAGGCAGCACTGGTGCAGAAGCAATTCAGTTAAGGCAACTGCATAATAATATAACTCAAACAAAGTAAAAATATACGATAATTTTGTATTGTTTTTTTTTTCTTACATAATACTCACATAATAAATAATTCCTTACATAATTCTGGATTTAGGTGAGTGGGCAACTACTAATTCTAACATTGAAGGTCTAACAAAAATGATGTCTAGTATTACAAAATACTTAAAAGAAGACACTTATTTCCAAATGTTTACCTTTGCATTGTATGATAATAACATAAATCAAATATAATTTTTTTTATTAAACTCCTGGTGTACATCAAGCCAATGCCATTAAAGAAATCATTTTTGTCAAGAGTGAATTTAAACATGCCCATCAATGCCAAGCCTCCCACCTCCACAAACTCATTATAAATTGAGCCACATCATGACAAAACCAACATATTGGGTTTGCAACCAGCATGGACCCAGACCAGCCTGCGCATCCGCGCAGTCTGATCAAGATCCATGCTGTTCGCTGTCAGTTACTCAACTTGTAATAGTTAGTAAGCAAACAGCATGGATCCTGATCAGACTGCGCGGATGCGCAGGCTGGTCTGGATCCATGCTGGTCGCAAACCCACTATGTTGGTTTTGTCATGACGCGGCTCAATTGTTAAAACATACCTTTCCATCATTTTCATTATAGACAAGAGCCTCCTTGTAGTATGTGATAGCTTTATCATAGTCTCTCTGATTGTTAGTGTGTACTGCCATCTGACAACATATACTGTAATATAACAAGTGTCCTGACAAAGTTTGATGATGATTGAGGCAAAAATGTGACCGCTAGAGTGTTAACAAGGTTTTTCTATTTTTAGCTCCTGTGACCTAGTTTTTCATCCGAGATGACCCATGTTCGAACTCATCCAAGCTATTACCTAGACAAGCATCCTGACCAAGTTTGATGATGATTGAGGCAAAAATGTGACCGGTAGAGTGCTAACAAACAAATAAGAATGGAGGAAGGACATTCAACAATTCTAAAAGCTCACCCTCAGCAAGCTCAAGTGAGCTTATAAAGAAATATCATATTTTTAATGTGTTGAATAAGGTTTAGTGAAAATTTGCATAACTCTATAATGTATTTACGAGTAAATTTAAAAAAAAAATCTTAACCAAAATCTAGTCTAAACTAAATCTAAAGTATGTTGTAGAGCATTGAAACATGTGATAATGTACTTGTTCTTGCCTTAAATTTTAGTGTTACTTTCTTGTATATTTTTTAAAAATCGTTTACTACAAAGGTACATGCCACCTGTCAAACACTTTAGCACAGGAGTAAGGTTTTATGTAATAAAAACACAACTTAACAGTAACTACAATAACACAGTAGCAACACTTACTCTGCAGCAAGTTGTTTCTGTGCGGTGACAGCATCTGGCTGTTCCAACTGTACTCTCTTAAGCACTCTAAAATACAAACAATGATGATTAAAATATTATTCAAGTGATATAGGTTAACTTATATACCCCACCTTTAATCTATACCAGTCACTCACTCCAGAGAGTTAATCTTTTTTCATTTTTGGAGGAAGGTGCAAATTATCCATTTAAGTGGTTCTATGATTTTTTTTCAGGTATACTGGCAGAATATGTTCTTTCGTGCCTCTTTGTGCAGAACCATAACACAGTCATAAGCTAATTGGGTATATTCCTCACATTGAGAATCAAACAAGAATCACATATAAAAGGAATGCTTAACAATCTTTTTGATTTCAAAATGACATCATTTTAACACCATAAAATAGATAACAATTTTGCCAATTACAGTATAACAAATCTTTATAAATATCATTTCTATGAGCATGATTGAATTCAAATGCGTGTAAAATACCCAGCTCTTTATATCTGCAATACATTTTCATATAAAATAATTCCAATTAGATATCAATCAAATCAGAGATTGAAATTTCAGTTATTCATTTCAAGAACAAAATATTGAAATTCAACAATAGCTAACAGTATGGCTTCTATCCCTGGCAATAGCAGCTAACATTCACAGAGTTACTACATAATGATGACCTTATAAACCCTAAACATGCTGTAATTGTGTAATAGATTTGCCCTCGTTTGAATTTGGAACAGTCCATTCAAAGTTTTAAGGGATTTCATTATCAAATTACAAAAATTGAACTACAAACAGTATAGCATCATGTCAGACTGCTAATCACTCCTGTTCCATCAGGTTAAAAGGTTAATAAAGTTGACAAAGTTAGTTACCTAGCCTGCATTTCCCTGGCTTTTGTCAATGACAGCATGGCATCTTCTAGTCTGTCAGACTTCTCATATACCTTAGCTAACAACACCATGTACTTTGTATGATCCATCATTATATCTAACTCACCATCTGTCATATTTTGTTACAGTAAGTTTAGAATACAATCCATTTTGTACAACAACAATATACAAGTAATAAAGGTTTTCAAAATATCTTTTATGATTATCTAATATTGTCAACTGCAAAATAGAAATACAAATAGCTACATTATATTCAAGCTGCACAGTATCAGATAAGGAAACATGCTTTAAGCACAATGTGAAACATTTGCAAAGCAAATTTTTTCCTGATTATTTGACTGTAATATTATCCAATAGCACTGTTACTTGTGAGCTATAGACTATATGTGCTTATTTTACACAGTCTCTTATGCCAACTTAAATGGCTTTATCCTCCAATAAATATTATCATGAATCTGGAGATGTGCTGTTTTAAGACATATATCATATTTTCTCTTATGTTTTCCTAACTCATTGGAAATCTTACTCCTTTTATTATGGACAAAATCATTACTTAAGTGACAAGCAATAATTAAGGTAGAACCAATGACCTACTGAAAAGGAACTGAATATCCTTATCACATAAATAAAGTAATGACTTGAGCATACAATAAGGAGGGTAAGTGATTTTAAATTAGTGAATTAACCCGAGCCCTGAATCTCTTGGTTGTACAGGCCCCTTATAAAATATCATATAAAGAATACATACTCTGTTCCTCTTCAAGGGCAACTTTCAAAACTTTCTCTGCCTTGTCATACTGTCTTAACTTTAACAACAATTCAGCTAGATCATATCTGTAGTAAAATAATATTATAATGATAACAATAACAAGATATGTTTGTGAAACATGTATGCCCCCTATCTGCAGCCAATTAGTCATGTGATCAGGTTAATATGCATGACTTCTGACCCAGTGAATGAACAATTTATATGGGTTATCCAGTATCTACTGGTCATGACTAGTCACAAGGTAATAATTATTGTGACCCCATAGGTTGTGTGCAGCAATTTAAGTTATAACAAATCTTACCAAATAATATATGCATACATTTTATGAATCATGTAGGCCTCATTAATGACAGCCAAGTTGTTATATTACATAAGACCTTCAAATGTGTATACCAAAAGCATTTTTAGTTTAATATAAAAATATCAACCAAGGCCACTTGAGTTGTTGAGTTATTGGTCAGAAACCGTCATTAAGTACAAGGTCAATATGACATTGACCCCTTGACCCCAAAATCAATAGGGGTTATCTACTGGTCATGACCAATCACCATACCAAGTTTGAAGTTCCTAGGCCTAACGGTTCTTTAGTTATTGATCGGAAACCGTTTTTACCTACAAGGTCAATGTGACCTTGACCTTTGACCCCAAAATCAATAGGGGTCATCTGCTGGTCATGACCAATCACCATACCAAGTTTGAAGTTTCTAGGCCTAAGCGTTCTTTAGTTATTGATCGGAAACTGTTTTTACCTACAAGGTCAATGTGACCTTGACCTTTGACACCTTGTCCCCAAAATCAACAGGGGTCATCTACTGGTCATGACCAATCACCATACCAAGTTTGAAGTTCCTAGGCCTTAAGGTTCTTTAGTTATCACTCGGAAACCATTTGGTTTACAGACCGACAAATGCAAAGCAATTAGTGATGTTCCGATTGTCGCAAGTCGCCGATAATCAGTTACTGTTATGTAAAACGACAATAATCAATTCACAAAAATTTGTTCCGCGACGTCGTCGAAAATGTTTAAAGTATCAAAGGGAATTAATTCTGACGGGCATTTTCTTTTAGGAACACCTCGCCGATCGCAAAAAATCACTCGGAGCAATTTGGAGTTGAACAGCATCAATAAGTGATGTAAACAATAGTAATATAATGTGATGTGAATGGTATTATTTGACATCCATTGAAAAATAAAATCTATTTCGCAAAATTATGACTTTATAAGGTTAAAACTGTGTTGAAAAGTGCTAAATGAAGTTAATGTTACTAAATATAATCAAGTGCTTTGATAAGAAATGTTACTTCCCTATTTCTTCTTAACACAACTTTAATCGGAAAGTTATCGATTATGTCCTATCCGACTATACCGATGATCGATTGGGACAAATTTCATCCGATTTCCATCACTAAAAGCAATATACCCCTCTTCTTTGAAGGTGGGGCATAATAATTAGTAATAATAAACAAATCAGTGTCAACAGCATAGCAACAAGGCTTCATTTTTTTCACAAACATTTTTATTGGTTTACGGATACATTGTTTTCAAGTATGTTTTGTATTATAAATCAAAAAGTGCAGGGATATGTAATATACATGTAAAATCATTTAATTTATAACTATAAAGATTTTGTGACCATCCAGCCATTTAAGTCTCTAAAATAAACAAGAGGGCCATGATGGCCCTGAAGTCGCTCACCTGTACATAGGCCCCCGGAGCGAGCCAGTTTAAAGCCCGGGGCTTTTATTTGAACAAACTTGGTAGACGACCATTAGAAGATGTTTCATGCTAAACATCTAAGGTCTAGCTCGTTGGGATTTTTATAAGAAGATTTTTTTAAGTTTTTTCTTTACACATATAGTTAAAAACAATGACACACCCTGGGGCAGGGCCAGTTTTGAACCTAAGGGCTTTTATTTGAACAATCTTTGTAGACACTTTACTAGAAAATGTTTTCATGCTTAATATCTAAACTCTAGCTATTCGGGTTTTTTTCAAAGAAGATTTTTAAGTTTTTGGGCTATATTGGTATAAGGAAAATCAATGTCCCCCGGGGCGGGCCAATTTTGACTCCAGGGCTTTTATTTTGAACAAACTTTGAAGACACTCACTAGAGATGCTTCCTGCTTAATATCTAAAACTCTAGCTATTTGAGTTTTTTTCAAAAGAAGATTTTTTCAATTTTTGCTATAGTTTTTACACATATAGGGAAAATAAATGACCTCCGGGGTGGGGTCAATTTTGACCCCAGGGCTTTTATTTGAGCAACCTTTGTAGACAATCAATATCTAAACTCTAGCTATTTAAATTTTTTCAAAGAAGATTTTTCAATTTTTGCATAGTTTTACACATATAGGGAAAATGAATGACCTCCGGGTGGGGCCAACTTTGACCCCAGGGCTCTTATTTGAACAACCTTTGTAGACAATCACTAGAAGATGTTTCATGCTTAATATCTAAACTCTAGCTATATTTGGTTTTTTCCAAGAAGATTTTTAAGTTTTCCAATACACATATCAGGAAATTTTGGAAAATCAATGACCCCCTGGGCCGGGCCAATTTTGACCCAGGGCTTCTTATTTGAACAAACTTGGTAGACATCCATTAGAAGATGTTTCATGCTAAATATCTTAGCTCTAGCTCTTTGGTTCTTTATAAGAAGATTTTTAAGTTTTTACTATATGCATATGGGGAAAATCAATGACCCCCTGGGGGCGGGGCCAATTTTGACCCAGGGCTTTTATTTGAACAAACTTGGTAGACAACCCATTAGAACATGTTTCAGCTATAATATCTTAGCTCTAGCTCTTTGGTTTTTTAAAAGAAGATTTTTTAAGTTTTTTTACTATATTATATATGGAAAATCAATGACCCCCTGGGGTGGAGGCCAACTTTGACCCCAGGGCTTTTATTTGAACAAACCTTGTAGACATCATTAGAAGATGGTTTCATGCTAATATTAAGCTCTTTGGGTTCTTTAAAAGACGAATTTTTTAAGTTTTGACTATATGTTATAGGGAAAATCAATGACCCCCTGGGGGGGCCAATTTTGACCCCAGGGCTTTTATTTGAACAACCTTTGTAGACATCCAGTAGAAGATGTTTCATGCTAATATCTTAGCTCTAGCTCTTTTGGTTTTTTAAAGAAGATTTTTTAAGTTTTTTAACTATATGCATATAGGGAAATCAATGACACTCTTGGGGCGGGCAATTTTGACCCCAGGGCTTTTAATTTGAACAAACTCGGTAGACACCCATTAGAAGATGTTTCATGCTAAATATCTTAGCTCTAGGCTCTTTGGGTCTTTTAAAAGAAGATTTTTAAGTTTTTACTATATGCATATAGGGAAAATCAATGACCCCCTGGGGCGGGGCCAATTTTGACCCCAGGGCTTTTTTTTGAACAAACTTGGTAGACACCCATTAGAAAATGTTTCATGCTAAATATCTTAGCTCTAGCTCTTTGGGTTCTTTAAAAGAAGATTTTTTAAGTTTTTACTATATGCATATAGGGAAAATCAATGACCCCCTGGGGAGGGGCCAATATTGACCCAAGGGCTTTTATTTGAACAAACTTGGTAGACACTCACCAGAAGATGTTTCATGCCAAAAATCTTAGCTCTAGCTCTTTGGGTTTTTTAGAAGAAGATACTTCAAGTTTTTTCTTTTGGTTGCCATGGCAACCAGAGTTCTGCATGGAATTAAATTCTTTGAACAATTTTCAAAGGTGACCACCAAAGGAACATTCCTGTGAAGTTTGGATGAAATTGGCTTAGTGGTTTATGAGGAGATGTCATTTAAAGTAAAAGTTTACTGACGGACAGACGCCGGACGGACGGACGCCGGACGAAAAGCGATCACAAAAGCTCACCCTGTCACTTTGTGACAGGTGAGCTCAAAAGAAAATTAATCTTTTACCTCAAGAAGCTCTGTCCACCAGATCTTAGAGCTGCCTCATAGTAATTAATGGCCTGAATATAAAATTAAGAATTTTCTCAAAATTATTATAATACTACAATATAATATTTCAATAACAATTATCTTAATATAGCACACGATTCACAACTAACTTCTTATAATTTATATAAATGAACATCAGATATTACAACATTTTCTATTGCCAAACTTTTGAAGTACAAAGAGAAATTCTGAATTCTGCAAAATTTTTGTCAGACGCTAGCCACATGTAGGACTTCTTAAGTTTCTTTTTCAATATCGAAATATGGCAAAAGCTGATAACTTTTGAAAATTGTTAACAAAGTATCAACAATACTTAAAACTTAGAAAACTGGAAGCAACAGATTCTACCCCTGCGACCAGTGCAGACCAAGATCAGTTTGCACATCCATGCCATCTTATCATGGTTTACACTGTCACGTTTCGGTCTGTACGTATTTCTTTGTTTGTCCATTTAAGATATTTAGTCAAATTAGTGTGGCAAGGGTTAATGCTATATGTAATTCTCATACCTTGCCATAGTTGTGTGTTTTCACTAGAGCTTGACCAATTTTACTGGCTAATGTTCCGTCTTTAGGATTTTTCTTCAATGCAGATTCATACACCTCAATGGCTTTCTCCGGCTGTAATTTATATATCAGATATTGATAAACAAACCTTGACATGCATCAAACAATTATACATAGGTAAGTCTTTGTAACAAAGAACATAGATCTTTGTCAATAATCCTTCCCCTGATAAATGTGTGTATTATACTTGCTCTACTTAGAATTTGGAACTGTTTAATATCACAATTTCAACAAAATATAACTGAAAATTAAAAGTTAAAATTTGATATTCTGATTGCACTAAGGATGTGCACAGTGACCTGCCATTATATTGGTGCAGATTGGTGGTAAAGGTTCATGAGCACTCAAAAATTACTTCAACAATAGAATACATGTTTTGACAATCAGTTTACAGTGTACATTGCTTGGTAGGAAGCATGATAACCCATGTATCACTATAAAGAATTTTATAGCCATTATTTCTTGAAATGGTTATTAGAATGGCATCATCATACTGCAAAGGTAAAACAAATGTCTGTCTCTATGACAGTGTATGAAATTCAAACCCTTATACAATGTTTAAAGCGTTTTACAAACCATAGTAACTAAACCTTATTCTACCATATTGTTTTACCATATACATACCTCCTGAATACTCATGTAAGCATCTCCTAGCAACAGACAGGTATGAGGACTTGGATTTTTATCCACCAGCTCTCTATAACAACTAGCATACAACTTCTTATCTTTCCTATGGTGTAGATAGATATCGGCCATTTTCTCCCGAGCCTGTACGAAGTATGGCTGATTAGGTCCAATGTTACGTAACATAGTTATAGCACTCTCGATGTCACCGCGGGAGATGGAGAGGTCAGCGTTAGATATGGTGATTCTCACTTCCTCCGGCGTACCATGGAAGTCATTGATGGCGTCTTGCATAATCTTAGCTGCTTCATGCTATAGTAAAATACAAAAAATATAAAAGATATTCTGTAAAAGAAAGTCTTCCAGTAAACTAAAATAATCTTTTAAGAAGTCATCCGATTTTCTACAAATGAATCAAAGCGTCGAGATGCTTTAGGAAAGAGTTTTACTAAGATAAATCAATGGTTAAAAAAATCAACATTTCAAATTTATCTTCAAGAAAGATCAGGTGGATAATTTTTTTTTTTTAAACATTATGTGTTTCTTACTTTGACATCACTTGAAAAGCAAAGCCACATGTATTTGCACTTTATTTTATATGCTACAATTTCTAGAAAGTTGCATTAGTTATTTACAAGTGGCTCTCTTAAGGCTCTATGGAGCTATATCACTAAGTAAAGGTTGCAATGTTCTTAATTTCACATTAAGAGTGGACGAAATGTGTTCAAAAATCAGAAAGGAAATTTGTCATACCTGGTTACCTAGCAACCTGTGAGCTTCAGCTAATTCTAGATAGACAGAAACCCTGTCATTAACACCGATAGTGGTCTTTGCTGGACGTCTAGAAGCTGCAGAACCAGGTTTGTTACCTAAAAAGGTAAAGTACATGTATGGTTATATCATACAAAAGTTGCAGGCAAATCTTCACAAAAGACAGTGTATGCAGCAGCGGTTATTATCGACATAAAAAGGTTACAGGTCAAGGTCCCTAAGAATGAATGATACAGGACTACTGCATGTGTCCTAATGTGTGTTATCACAATGCATTACATTGAATATTGAACTTTAAGATATTTCAGTATCAGAGACTATCTTTGAGCCAGCAATCAAATAACTTCGATTCACAGTAGGTTTTTCCCTCATTTTTTGTTTTAACCAAAGAACCAATGTTAATATCACAGAAATTCAACTTCAAATTAGACTAACATATATCACATAATTTTGCAAAGTGAAAATTAAGTAGTGTTATAATTACCTTTGATACCAGGAAGTGACATGGCCATCTGTAGTGTGCGGACAGCCTCCTCATTGTCTCCTTGTTTCTTCTGGATCCTGGCTTTGATCAGGTGATATAGGGGATGGTCCCTAACCTACAACAGAATATATGGGTACCAGGTAAGTCATATATACATGTATTGCAGTATAGAAATTCAAAGGCTGGATCCTGGTTTACAAAATAAGTAGCAATGTATGACTTTAAAAATTGAATCCCGATTTAATCATGTGATACCTAAGATGGTTCCTAACCTGGATACCACATAATAAAGTATAAAAAAGTATACAAAGCCTGGATCCTGGCTCATTTTCGGTTATTAAGATAATGTTATTATCACATTTAATTATACATAATATGCCCTTAATATATTAAACATATTATAAACAAAACCTCAAGCTTATGAGTTTAACATAAAAAATACAGTAAACTCCGCTTATAACGAACTCATTGGGACATTCAAAATCTGTTCCTTATATCTGGAGTTCCTTAAAAGCATATAGCGAATTAGTTCCTTGTATCAGGAATTTTTAAAGCGAACATATTTACATATAACAAACAGATTGTTTACCATTGTCCGCCATTTTGAAGCGCATTTGATTAAGAAACAAGAGGGCCATGATGGCCCTGAGGTCGCTCACCTGTATATAGGCCCCTGGAGCAGGGCCAGTTTAAACCCTCAGGGCTTTTATTTGAACAAACTTGGAAGACACCCATTAGAAGATGTTTTTTGATGTTAAGTATTTACTACACACATATAATGAAAAACAATGACCTCTGCCCTCCCCCCACACCTCCCTCCCCCCCCCGGCAGGGCCAATTTTTACCCAGGGGCTTTTATTTGAACAAAACTTGGTAGACACCCATAAGAAGATGTTTCATGCTAAACATCTAAGCTCTAGCTCATTGGGTTTTTTAAAAGAAGATTTTTTTAAGTTTTTACTATACACATATAGTTAAAAACAATAACACCCCTGGGGCATGGCCAGTTTTGATCCCAGGGATTTTATTTGAACAAACTTTGAAGTAACTTACCAGAAGATGTTTCATGCTTAATATCTAAACTCTAGCTATTTGGGTTTTTTCAAAGAAGATATCTAAGTTTTTGCTATACACATATAAGGAAAATCAATGACCCCCGGGACGGGGCCAATTTTGACCCCAGGGCTTTTATTTAAACAAACTTGGTAGACACCCAGTAGAATATGTTTCATGCTTAATATCTTAGCTCTAGCTCTTTGGGTTCTTTAAAAGAAGATTTTTTAAGTTTTTACTATATGCATATATGGGCGGGGCCAATTTTGACCCCAGGGCTTTTATTTGAACAAACTTGGTAGACACTCACTAGAAGATGTTTCATGTCAAATATCTAAGCTCTAGCTCTTTCGGTTTTTTTAAAAGAAGATATTTAAAGTTTTTTCTTTCGGTTGCCATGGCAACCAGAGTTCTGCATGGAATTAAATTCTTTGAACAATTTTTAAAGGTGACCACCAAAGGAACATTCCTGTGAAGTTTGGATGAAATTGGCTTAGTGGTTTATGAGGAGATGTCATTTAAAGCAAAAGTTTACGGACGACGGACGAAAAGCGATCAAAAAAGCTCACCCTGTCACTTTGTGACAGGTGAGCTAAAAACTAGTCATTTATTCTTTTATAGACACAATACCCGAGAGCGTACTTTTTGGAATTTGAAATTCCTTTGCTATTTCAGTTTTAATTTTACTTTCTTTTTCAATTTCTCATGAAATATCATAATTTGTTTCTAAATTCGTTTTCTTTCCATGATTAAGAATAAACAAGAGTTTTCATTTTTCCTTCCTTTTAAATTAAATATCTTCTATTATATTTTAAGGGTGACGCATTTGTAAGACATGGGAATTAGCTGATCATCCTATATAAATATAATTTTACAGATGTAGGTTGATTAATACTTAAGTTATTAATAATGACCTTAACCTTTGACCTTGTGACCCCAAAATCAATAGGGGTCTTCTACCTTATATGGACAATCATCCTCAGAAGTTTGAATATTGTGGGCGAAATGGAACTTAAGATATGCTCCGGAAACTGTTTTCAATTTTAAGGTTATAGTGACTTAGACTTTGTAACCCCAAAATCAATAGGGGTCTTCTACCCAATATGGCCAATCATCCTATGAAGTTTGAATAAAGTGGGCCAAATAGAACTTATGTTATGCTACAGAAACTGTTTTCAGTATTAAGGTAATTGTGACATTGACCTTTGACCTTGTGACCCCAAAATCAATAGGGGTCTTTTGCCCAATATGGAAAATCATCCAATGAAGTTTGAATATTGTGGGCCAAATGGAACTAAAGTTATGCTTCTGAAACTGTTTTCAGTATTAAGGTAATAGTGACCTTGACCTTTGACCATGTGACCCCAAAATCAATAGGGGTCTTCTACCCAATATGGACAATCATCCTATGAAGTTTGAATATTGTGGGCCAAATGGAACTTAAGTTATGCTCCGGAAACTGTTTTCAGTATCAAGGTAATAGTGACCTTGACCTTTGACCTTGTGACCCCAAAATCAAAAAGGGTCTTCTACCCAATATGGACAATCACCCTATGACGTTTGAATATTGTGGGTCAAAAGGAACTTAAGTTATGCTTAATTTAATTATGTGAAAATGCGGTATATATATTCGGATAGCCGATATTTTGGAATTCGCTATAAAGGTGTAATTTTCTGTACTTTTAACTGAATTGGGACTAAGAAATGAGTTCCTTATAAGCGATAATTCCTTATAACAGTGTTCGCTATAACTGTATATTTTTTATATTAAATAAAGAAGGGCAAAATTCGGGCCAAAATAAATTGTTACTTATAACCGGAAGTTTGCTATAACCTTGTTCGCTAATTATGTGAAGTTTACTGTATGTACAATATAAACAGAAACTAGATTTTACCTCAAAATTGTGACTGAGGCCAACTTCGAGAGATTGGTTGGCTAATTTAAAGTTATTTTGTTGTAGATGTATCTGTGCCATCAGTATATGACCATCAGAGTAGGTTGGTTCTACATCAATACAGTGTTGCAATGTAGACTGGGCTGCATCTACATCTCCTACAAACATAAAATAAACCATCAGTTACATGCTTCTTGGTTTTAATTTGTTCTGGTTGAGTTTTCAGTACAACATCATTGTAAAGGTAATTTGGCATCTTTCCAGCTTTACTATTGGTGGAAGACCTCAGGTGCCCCTTAAGTCACATATAATTCAATGATTTGGATGTAAAATCTGCAAATTTCTCATTGCAAAGGCTCAAATGTATATAGCCAATAAATTTATTCAACCGTTTTTATTACAATTGTTTATATCAATATTGGCTTATAATTTGTTTGAACAATTTGTCATGACAATAACTCAGAATAATATTTGCTATGAATTTATTTGAACAATTTTTCTAGTAAAAGAGCTCAAATTCAAGTTTGTTTGTACATTTTTTCATTTTACAATAGCTAAAATTAATATCATTTTATCACAACCTGATAAATCTTGCCTCAAGGTTATAAAATCTTTATGGGTTGGTTTGTGTACATTCCCTGCCAGTTTCTGACCAATTAAATGATCTCAGTATGAACTGAGTGAATTTTTTAACCTCAGACCCTGGATAGCCCAGCAACTTATTCTGTTGTTATTTTTTTACCTACCAGAGAGATATTTCACTTTGCCCATGAGATACAAAGCTTCTAGAAGACCGGGTACAGCTCTAGTAAGGGGATCCAGCACCTGGTTACACTTCTTTAACACTGGATTCACAACTTGGCCCGGCCCTACAGGCTGTAATATATACAAATATCACATTTCAGACTGTGAGAACAATCTGACTCATGATATAAATTCATGGACCTACTAAATATTTATTTTGCACATTCTTGGTCAAATTTTTACAAATTCAGATGTAATTTCTGTACAAATACATATTTTGCATCTAAAACAATATAGATATGTAACATTTTTCATCAGAAAATCAAGAGACAGACACATGACTTTAATTTCAAGTATTTTCTGCTCAATAATTAATACTAACAGTACAAAATACAATTTCCTTTTAACTTTATATACAGCTTACAGTACATTACATCAAGACACAATTTTCCCAAATCTACCTGTGTATGTGCTAGTGCTAAATTAGTGACAATAAGACAGCATAAATAGATGGACTGAGCTGGCCCTGTCAACACTGGTGGCTTTGACCTACCATTATAACTAACAGAATATAAATCATATAGTAAAAGTGGCTAGATGGTCTTGTGGTGAACATGTCGGACATTGAATATAAGTATTGTTTGGATCCTGTCAAGGGCAAGCTGTCATTTCTTTGAACAAGAAACATTACACTCTGCTCAGGGCTGGATAGTCCCAGAAAAGGATTTGCAAGTATGTCTATAAGCTTGTATCTTCATACACAATCAAACAAAAAACATATTTCTATATATAAACTAACATGATGTAAAGCAATGGTTGTTTGAACATTTTTGCATTAATTTAACTTATTTTCTACCCGTTGACTCAGTGCAACACTCCACTGTGCAATAAAGCATTTGGGGCCTTTTTAGAAATAAAAGAAAGTGGGTCTTTAATTGATAAATCTCCTTTAAGATTTTTTTTTTTGCTGAATCTAAAATCCTACAAATTCACACAATCTAAAAGTGCATTATACAATACCTTGCCACCATTTGATAATGGCTGATGAAATAAAATAATTATTTTTTATAGTAAAATACACATAATCATTCAAATTTCTAAACAAAATAGTGCTTGTATCTGAATTGATTTAACATTGCAACTAAAATTAGATCAGGTACTATTTTTAAATACACTTAAGTATATAAACATATAATGTATTACTTTTTCATAGGCTTGTTTATTAAAGAAAGTGCATTGGCTGCAGAATTCATGAAAAACTAAGATTTTATATTTAAATGTAATTTTTAATTTTCCATGAAAATAAGCATGAATCTGGAGGCATGCTGCTTTAAAAAATGCTTGTTTCCTCAACACAACATAATTATGCATTTCCATGCAAGAATGAGATTAAAGTTGAAATTAATTCTGAACTGAAAACATTGTATATTAGATTCAAATTAATAATAAATGAAACAGAAAGTAAAAAACATTTTTTACAACTTTTTTTACAATATTTCATCCATCAGCAAGTTTAGTCTTTCAATGCAAAAATTATATAATGGAAGTGTATTGCTTTGAACTTGGTGATTATTCCTTACATTGATTTAACCAACTTCCATATTTGGAACTGTCAATTATCAATTTTTGGGGAAAGTCACCCAACAGTGGTTAACACTTTGGACAACAAGACAAGTAATCAAAGGATTGCTGACTGTGTGGGTTCAAACCCCGTCAGGGGCAAGCTGTTGTTTCCATAAGCAGGTACTTTTACACTTATTGCTTAATACTGGTTGGTCCCAGGAATGAATTTCTATAGTATTTCAATAAGCTGATAGCTTCCAATACAACTGAACTAAAATATATATGAATATAAACTAAAGCCTGGCAAGACTGCAAAGTACTTCCTAAATACAGGCTGGCTCTATACTATCTATTCACTTTTGGTTCTGAGTTTTATTATCAAGAAACTAATTATACCACACAGTTAAAAGATGTAATTTGCATTATTTGTATACGCTACTGATGGATGTAATTTATCAAAACACACTGACCAAACAATAAATTAACAAAATAACAAGTTGAAATCATGCAATGTTTAATGTAACATGCTGAAATATTGAGTTAAAATGTTCCACAACATGTTCAATAAGATATTAGCATGTTCCAAACATGCCAAAAAAACATGTTTTAGACAACAACTACAACTTACATACATCGGCTCTGGCTGGAAAATGTAACAGTTTACTTCATAAAGATTAACAAAACAATTCTAGGAAATATTCGGGTTAAATGTCACAAATCATTAAGCTCAAATAGCGACTTTCCAGCTTTACTGGTACAGATAAACCTGTGTGGATTATTTCAGACATTAGCACCTTAAGCAGGAGTACTGCCTACTAATCAGATGCTTTTTTTTATATGTAACAACAAGAAATATGACCATTTATGCCCTCACATTTCTCTGTTTTGTTTACAGACAAACATCATAATGGGCAAATCTCTACTTATAAGTAGTAGGACATACAAATCAAATAATTCAAAATTGCAAAATGCTTACTAGTTTAAGATCAATACTTCACTTATTATCTATAACTGGAAAGCTCTTTTTCGCAATAAAGTACATGTAAACTGTTTTAAAGGACATACATACCGTTTGTGGGGCAAACAGAAGGTAATCTTTAATGATCTGGAGACAGAAATCTGGGTTGAGTATCATATAGTACTGTATACCTAGAGGGTATCCCTGAAATTATAACATATCATAAAGTACTGTATACCTAGAGGATATCCCTGAAATTATAACATATCATATAGAACTGTATACCTAGAGGATATCCCTGAAATTATAACATATCATATAGTACTGTATACCTTGAGGATATCCCTGAAATTAAAACATATCATAAAGTACTGTATACCTAGAGGATATCCCTGAAATTATAACATATCATATAGTACTGTATACCTAGAGGATATCCCTGAAATTATAACATATCATATAGTACTGTATACCTAGAGGATATCCCTGAAATTATAACATATCATATAGTACTGTATACCTAGAGGATATCCCTGAAATTATAACATATCATATAGTACTGTATACCTAGAGGATATCCCTGAAATTAAAATATATCATATAGTACTGTATACATAGATGGTATCCCTGAAATTAAAACATATCATATAGTACTGTATACCTAGAGGGTATCCTAGACTGTATACATAGATGGTATCCCTGAAATTAAAACATATTATATAGTACTGTATACCTAGAGGGTATCCCTGAAATTATAACATATCATAAAGTACTGTATACCTAGAGGATATCCCTGAAATTAAAACATATCATATAGTACTGTTTACCTAGAGGATATCCCTGAAATTATAACATATCATAAAGTACTGTATACCTAGAGGATATCCCTGAAATTAAAACATATCATATAGTACTGTATACCTAGAGGATATCCCTGAAATTAAAATATATCATATAGTACTGTATACATAGATGGTATCCCTGAAATTATAACATATCATATAGTACTGTATACCTAGAGGATATCCCTGAAATTATAACATATCATATAGTACTGTATACCTAGAGGGTATCCCTGAAATTATAACAAATCATAAAGTACTGTATACCTAGAGGATATCCCTGAAATTATAACATATCATATAGTACTGTTTACCTAGAGGATATCCCTGAAATTATAACATATCATAAAGTACTGTTTACCTAGAGGATATCCCTGAAATTATAACAAATCTTGTTTAGGTACAAAGTTTATACTGAAGACATAGCATACTTAAATAGGTCAAAGTAGGATGTTAACAAGCAAATTCGTTGAATTTATATCCCCCGCCGAGTACTGGTTATTATTAACACAACAACTGAAGACATAAGGCTTTATTTATATATTAATCATGGCATAAACTGTAAAATTCTTTGAACTTGAAGCCTTGTACCTTCAAACAAGAAGAGTTTTTAAGTTTTCACTATATACATATAAGGAAAATCTATGACCCCCTGGAGTGGGGCCAATTTTGACCCCAGGGCTAAAAATTGAACAATTTTGGCAGAGGACCTATATGTTATATCATATACCAAATATCAAAGCTCTAGGCCTTGTACTGTCAGACAAGATTTTTTAATTTTGCATTTATGAAACTCCTTTTTCTGGCCCCATGTGACTGATGATTGTGATTGAAAATTACAAAATTTTACTAAGTCAAGGGCAATAACTCTAAAAATACTAAAATATCCAGGCGAAAATACCCAGGTGCACAACTACACAACTGATCAACATTCCTGTAAAGTTTCATGACTCTAGCTAAAATACTTTTTGAGTTACATGCAACACAAGTTGAAAATTACAAAATTTTACTGAGTCAAGGGCATTTACTCTAAAAATACTAAAAATATCCAGACGAAAATACCCAGGTGCACAACTGCACATGCTGATCAACATTCCCATAAAGTTTCGTTTAATTCCAGCCATTAGTTGCAGAGAACTACTCCGGAAACGAAATTCGGACAAAATTTTACTGAGTCAAGGGCAATAACTCTAAAAATACTAAAAATATCCTGATGAAAATACACAGGTGCACAACTACACATACTGATCAACATTCCTGTAAAGTTTCATGACTCTATGTCAAATACTTTTTGAGTTACATGCGACACAAGTTGAAAATTACAAAATTTTACTAAGTCAAGGGCAATAACTCTAAAAATACTAAAAATATCCAGACGAAAATACCCAGGTGCACAACTACACATACTGATCAACATTCCTGTAAAGTTTCATGACTATAAGTCAAATACTTTTTGAGTTACATGCGACACAAGTTGAAATTTACAAAATTTTACTAAGTCAAGGGCAATAACTCTAAAAATACTAAAAATATCCAGACGAAAATACCCAGGTGCACAACTTCACATGCTAATCAACATTCCCATAAAGTTTCGTTGAATTCCAGCCATTAGTTGCAGAGAACTACTCCGGAAACGAAATTCGGACAAAATTTTACTGAGTCAAGGGCAATAACTCTAAAAATACTAAAAATATCCAGACGAAAATACCCAGGTGCACAACTTCACATGCTAATCAACATTCCCATAAAGTTTCGTTGAATTCCAGCCATTAGTTGCAGAGAACTACTCGGGAAACGAAATTCAGACAAAATTTTACTGAGTCAAGGGCAATAACTCTAAAAATACTAAAAATATCCAGACGAAAATACCCAGGTGCACAACTTCACATGCTGATCAACATTCCCATAAAGTTTCGTTGAATTCCAGCCATTAGTTGCAGAGAACTACTCCGGAAACGAAATTCGGACGGACGGATGGACGGACGGACAGACGGACGGACGGACAGACGGAAGGACGGACGGACAACGCCAAAACTATATCCCCCTCCCGATTCCATCGGCGGGGGATAAAAACAGTTTGTTCAAGTTGAATGTAGTTTTTTACATCTGTAAATACATGAATGATAAGAAACAGAAATGGAAAAAGAATCACAGATATTTTTTCAAATCAGAAGTATTGTGTCCATGATTGAAACAAACAATTCTGAAGTCCTTTCATTATATGCAATGACCTTTACTCACAAAATGACTTCAAGACAAGAAAAAAATAATGAATTTTAAGATAAACAAAAGATCTTACATGCACATCATAATACTAGGTACATATATAAGAGAAACAAATGGTTTGTAAATTCTTTAAATACTATTTAAAGCATCACATTAATTTGCCATGTTGCATACATTTTCTCTCACATTCTTAAATGTCTTCAAGACTGATATCAACAATAATGTTAGACCTTGTATCATTGGTTATAACCAATTTATAAAATAAAATCCTACCTTAAGAGATTTGAAGTGTGTTTCTATTGCCTTGTTAAGTTCATCCAGGCATTTTTCTGGTCCTTTATTCCTCTTCATTGACAATACAGCACTCAAATACAGTAAATCCTGATACGATAATAAGATATCAGTTATATGACTGTTCTCATGATTACGTTTGCATTCATAAATATATGTATACATGTCAATATTTTATCTGGTAATTTCATTCATGGCAATTAACAAGCCTATTTAATAGATCTTAATAATTCAGTCTTCCAGCAGAATCTGGAAATTTCCAAAATTTGAATTTAATTGAATCAGACTTAACCACATTATGATCATGTTGACTTTTTCATTGTTTCTTAGTTACACCAGTACAGCATGCTTTCTCATAAATTCTGGTGGATTAAGGTATTAGATGTATAATTGATTGATTTGAGCCCATGCCCTATCAAAACTCTTGTCTCCTCACTGAAAATGAATACTCTTCAGAAAGGAGATACTGCATTAGGCATCTAATACCTTAAAGTAGCACCAGCAATTCATAACTGGTAGAAATCATCCACAAAGTATCTATGCAGTATTTCAAGAATGAAAGAAATGTTCTTCTCTAACCTGGCTGGATAACTTCTTTTTATGACTCACTACAATTACAGCTAGAGTATGCAAAACAATTAATTAATGGGACTTTTTACAAACAGTAGCAAGCGCCAACCTCTTCTAAGTCAAAAATATTAAGAGGTCAACAAAGCATTTGATCACTGAAACATCTTTAATATAAAAGTATAAATACATTGTTAAATATCAAGAGAACTATTTAAGTATTCAAAACTGCAATGATATAACAGTTGTAGTAAGTGAACTTACAGCAGATGTTCCAATACTTTGTTGTATTTCTCCCAGGAATTCTAACTGTTGTGCAGCATCTTCTAGCTGATCCTCCATTAACTGACAACGAATTATACCTGTAACATACAATGCGATCCTTTGTACGATCATATTAATGTCATTTTATATATTTTTCGCCCCTGTTTACAAAAGTTCAACAGTATTTATAAGAGGAGTGTTGGTCTAGTTGTTAAGAAGTCTGCCTCTCAACACAGGGATCATGGGTTCGAGCCCTACTTGGGTGACGACTATGTTTCTTCATATGACAACAGTACTGGTTTTTCCAGAAAGTGGACTTGAAAGATATGAATACAGTGAAAGCTGAGAAAACCGGACAAAACACTCAGTCCAAAAGCCATCCAGTTTTCTCAACTTTCACTGTATAAGTTACAAGAACATGAGGTTCATTCATTTCTAAGATTCACATTTAGTCCAAGGTCAGCATCAAATATATATAAAGTGGTTGATTTCACATCAGAAGTGCATAAAAACTCTCCTTTCAATAACAGTTATGTTTAGTTTCCAACTAACATCTCCAAACATATGAACTCTTTTTCCATTATGTCAATATCTATGAAATGAAATAATCTAGTTTTGTTCAGACACATACACTGTGGGAAAAAAATAAAACCTCTTCAAATGAGGAGGTATACCTGTAAGGGCTGACACGCTGGTTTCATCAATTTTCATGGCATTCTTGTAACATCTCATGGCATCTTTAACTTTCCCCTGTAACAAGAGTTGGAATCCCAGCTCTGTGATATAGTCCGAGTTACCACTACTAAGACTTACTGCTCGCTCCATCAGTGTGTATGTTTGTTGTAACACCAGGGAGTTCCTGCCACACTGAAATATCAATGTTTATAGTGGTAAAACAGCCCGTAATATCAGTTACCCATAATCTACTGGAATGGCATAAGTACAGAGCCAGTCTGACCAGAAAATTACTTTTTATGTACCTTAGGTCAAATTTTGTGTTGAAAACCATAACCTGACAAAGGTTATATATAAACCAAAATCTGGTATTTTTATAAATATACAATATAATAACCAACCAGGTGTTTTTGATGTGTTGTTCCCCTGTTATAACCTTATAATTTATAGTTCAGACTTTAATGCTGTAAGAGGCTCCATTTTTTGCATCTTGATAGTGAAATCCCTTTTAATGGATTGTTCCAAATTAAAAACTGGACAATACCATTATATAGTGTTGTCCCGATTGTCTCTGAAAATCGATAACTAATCGGATCACCCCAAAATCGGCAACAATCGATAGTCTTTTTTAACAATCGATTCTTTTAATGTTATACCACCGCTGAATTGCCTAGGGCGTAACTTTTTTACACGCGGTCAAATAGAATTTTCCCTACCAAATCTCTTTAATTCCAGAGGATCCTATAGTTTTTTTTGTTTGCCTTATCAAAAAAGAAATACAGAAAAAAACATGGCTAGTGAATAAGTGGGCAATTTGAACAACTTTGTTTCCTGAACATCAAAGCAAATTCATCCTTGCCTGTCACAAAGTAGTATTAGGTATTTGTGTTGTTTGTTTTGAATTCAAAGAGTAAATCTTACTTTAATCAAGGAGACAAGAGCTTATTTATTCTCAAAATATGGTCACTACTGTATAAAAAAATACATACAAGGATTGGTACCTTAAAAGAAAAAGGGCCAAAAAAATGCAAAACTCGATTATACTATCGGAAGACAATCGATTGTGGTGATCCGAATATCGATAGTGATTTTTGAGTCCGATACCCAACACTACCATTATAGAAATTCAGCAGGTTCAGGGTTCAAGAGATAGTACACTACCAGTATTTCCATCTTTTCTATGATACTAAAAGTTATGTTCAAATTTTTCAAATTACAAAACAGCTATAAGAAATCAGTTCTTTACTTTTTTTTCAATTCTAGGAAGATTTTACATAAATATGCTTTTATTTTAAACCATTTATAAACAATTGTTTTACTTTAAAGTTATTTTAGAAATATTCATGAGATTTCATTCTACACATTCTGTCATTAGGCAAGAAAGAAAATCAACTGTATTAACCAAACAATAACATAGTACCTTACCATTCTACAGAACACTTGAGCCATATTGTAATATAAAAATGCATTCTTTGACTCAAATCTGTCCATGGTTGTAATAATGTCTCCTAATTTACTCGCAGCCTGGAAAGATAACAACATGTTTTCATTTTTTGTAAAACAGATTAACAATGTTTAAGTAAAATAAATGCTTAACTACTGAAACTGCACCTCTGTGTCAAAATTCTTATGGTCTTTCGGAGCCGTTAATTATTTTAAGTCTGAGCATTCACTTAGGTTGACCCTTATCAATTCAATAGATACCTTCTATAACATAAATCTAACTTCTGTAGCAATTTTCACTTCACAGCATATTATTTGGAACTTTATCCATCTGGCTTCTAGGTGTTAAACCATGACTTGATTGATTTTATGATTTAATTTTACATCTACTTTCATTGGTAAGATCGAAAAACATGTGCTCTCTAGTGTACATTTTGAAAATGCTGTCTTACGCATATAAGAATTGTCATTCTTAGAAGTAATTTCAGGTCAAGTAAGATATCTGCCAGTATCATCAACATAAATCTTTTTATATTGTGATTTTTCTTTATCAAATATTCACGATGAAAAATCTGTACTTGTAATACATAGTAATATTTTGAAAGTAGGTGTTACCTCTGGGTAGTTTCCTTCTCTACATAGGAGATGAAGAGCTTGATATCTCATAGCCTCTAAACAATGCATATCCACACCTAGTGCTCTATAATATATCATATACAACAGTGAATTATTTCACATACTTACACTAACATCAACAGGCATTGAACAATATTTTCAAGTCACTCGTCCTGCAGGAAGAGTAGCTTTTAAATCCAATGTGCAGGCAACATTTTTCTACTTGTCCTGCATCAAGTTCTCTTAAATTTTACTCTAAATTACAAGCAGACAAGTGAAAATTTCTATCTCTGATCAACTTATCTATGTCATCAACTGGTATATCCATGTATGCTGCCCATGTTTCTATGCTACCAGTTAAGTCAGGTCAGTCGGCACATGTAGCCCTACTAGACTTTATATATTTCACTTCCAATTTCAATATTTCCCTACTAAAATCCCTGAAACCACTTAATACTTTTAAATCTAAAGTTTTCCACTACATATATTCCACAGGCTTTCCACTGTGAGTTAATATTTCAAAACAGTTACATACTTTTTTCATACTTTTTATAGATAGTCTTGTGGCCATATTTCAAATTCAAGTAACAAAACATCACCATAGTGCAGTAACAGTTTAACTCATTATACAATTTAATAGGAATTAACCCTTTATTATACTTAAGATTCATGACAAAAAGCACACCCAATGTACCTAATGCTCCAAGATAAAATCTGGGCAAGTCGATAAAACAAATTTAGGGGCCTAAGGGCTAAGAGACTTATATTTTTACATATAACTAATAAAGAAGCACACACAACAGACATGCACTAAAGTAACAACCTACCTCTGTGATGTTTCTATGGTAGCCTCCCAGTCCTGTAAACATAGTTGAAGTCTCATCTTCTCAACTAGAGCAGGTATAAAGTTAGAATAATGAACTATTATCTGGTTAATACTCTCTAATGCACCACTGTAATTGTGCTTTGCTTCGTAATACTTGGACTTGCCAAACAAACCATCTATATTCCTTCCTCCACTGTCTTTGCTAGAAGAATAAAAACATCAACATTACAAGTATTTCCAACTCAAATTCAAGATTACAAGTATTTTTGAGCTCAAATTCAATATAGCAAACCAGCTCAAATCCAACATGACAAATATCTTTAACTGAAACCCTCCATGAATACTTGCACTTACAAAATCAAAAATTGCTGTATAAAATTGATCATTCAAAGTTGAAATATGTAAGACACTCAATAACAAATCATCAGTATTTTGAAGGTATTGACTTTCCTTACCCTGAGACACAAATGATATTTTGATAGAGATGACATCAGGGATGTCTATGAAAAATGAACTTGTGCTATAAAAATTAATTTCCAATTTTGGCATACAAAAGATAAAACTGTGTGTTGTAAATGGAGTATATCACAGTGTTATTGTTTATTAGTGTGAACTTATTCAGATCTTGAACAATATAATTTTACCAGCACTATTAGAAAATAAATGTAAATACCTTTGAGCATCATCAAAGAATTTGGAAGCTTTCTTCACCTCACGACCGCTCATCAGTTCTATCCATCCTTTCAACACTAAACCCTGTAAGTTAAACATCCATATCAGTTAAAAATTGGGCACTACAAACAGATTGATGTTTAAAGATATTTTTAAGCATGAGGGGTCCTGCCCTTAACTTTGATGACCTTCAAGCTAACATAGGGCTACTGACTGCCACAATGTAGAAGTATCTCCAACTTAAGAACTTACTTAAATTTTGTAAGATATGAAATTTTGAAATGACTAAATTTTCAACTTGCAATCTTTTTCATTTAGATTTTTAAAATAAATACTGACCACTTTACTAATAACGATAAGTAATTTAGCTTTCCATTTAAAAGAAAAAGCCTGTAAATCTAAATTCGGATTTCCTATTAATATTAGTTCAAGTGAAGTTAGGAAAAAGTAAATAATATATTTAAGATTTGTCATGAAATTGCTTTTTACAATGTTTATTTTTACCTCAATATTATCTCCATTCATTTTCAGCATTCTGTCAATATACTCTCTTGCTTTATCATGTTTCCCAGTGAAAAACAAAAACAAACCTGCATAATACAGCCCCTGAAATGTAACCATTTGGTTAACTTAGCATACATTAGCATTTCTTCCAACAAAATAACATCAGATGGTAAATGCATCTTTTTTTTCCTGCATTAACATATGCAGGAGCACAATGACACATTTACAGACTGAGTCAAAATAATATTCAACACATTTGTTAATAAAACAGCCATTCATACTTAATTTATGACTGTTGACAATCACTACAATGTTAATTGCCTTAAATCAGTGCTCATCAATAATAATACAATCTATACAAAAGCATTTTCTTTCTTTAACTCTTTTCTTATAAAACTTTTAGACCTTAAACTGCTGAATTTAAATTTCCCAAAGTCCATTATAATTTTACATAATAATGAGGAATTACATTAAATGTTTAATAAATAATTGATAGGTTATAAAATGATCTTATAACCTTACAATAAACAGTCAGTGAGGCAACAGATGTGGCAATGAAAACAACCAATTTGGTCAAGGATCAAGGAGGACATTTTAACCTACAGGCTGAAAATACAACAGATTTTAACAACATTTCAACCGATGATATAAATTGCCAATCTGTTAATATGGAAAACCTGAAACAGTATCAATATCTTTACATCAATATTAAAATTATGTTAACAATTAATTAGTATTATATATACAAACCATTTCTCCTGATTGTTTTCGTTCCTCTTTCAATTTAGCATCAAGCTCTGTGACAGCTTCTCTATCTGTTAGGAAGTAAACAGTTATCTAGGTATCAACATAGAACTTTTATATCAACTAACAGTAATCAAATCATTCTAATATTCTGATGTGATTCATTTTTTTAAGTAAAAAAAGAATATAAAATTATTAAAATCATGATATAACTTCCTGGAGTACCTTGAGATTCATTTTGTACATCTTTCAATAAAGTTATAACAGCAACACCTTAGTGGTTCAGTTGTCTTCCTCACAACCCAGTACTTGGAGGTTTGAACCATATACTGGGTAACAACCATGTCTCCTCAAATGTAATCAGAATTGGTTTGTTTCAGGAAGTGAATATGATAATGTTTGATATGGTTTCCCCATCAGACTTACATAAGTATGTTTAAACTAATAAAACATTACATTTTTGAAAAAAAAGAATTAAATTGATGGAATTTTTATCAGATGTCATCAATTCAGTAGTGAATTTAACCAGAGCTGTTCGATAAGACAGTATAGTCAACTGTTTTCAACTTCTAAGAGCTTGAAAGTAAAGGAACACGACTGTCACTGTAAAAAGTTAACACAGAGAACAAGTGTGTGAAGTTTAAACCAAAGTGTGAGGGTGATGCTAAAGCTGACAAAGTGGTGTCTCCCTAATTATCCCTATTGTGCTAGTCAGGCTAAAAACTAAATCCACAGCTAAATGTAAAATTATCATGCATGTCTGTTTTCTTTATTAAATCCCAATTTCTAAAGTTGCACACAATCCGCAGTACACTTTTGTCAGTGTGCTTTAATACTAACCTTTCACGCCTGGGCATCTTATATCATCACACAGATTTAAAAATGTAATTTAAAAATTATCATAATTATGAGGTCTTGATAAGTAAACCATCAACTGGCTACCTGATCACTAAGGGTTGTTGTTCTGTTACACTTAAATAATGAACACAAGGAACAATTAAAAAGACTAATTTTAACACCTAGAACTTACCAACAGAATTTCCTTTCTTGTGTGCCAGCATGAGGGCCATAGTTGAACAAAGATTAACATCTCTTTTATCTTTGAGGATTTCTAATTCTCTTATACCTTCCTGAACACGATCTACAAAGAAGCCAAAATAAATATTTAAACTTTTATATAGATTCATTAACCTACACAAAATCTAACTGCAGAGCCTCGTTACCGCTGTCAACAGTTACCCTCGAGCTAGATATTCCGGTCTGTACCAGCAGCCGGTGTAAGATTCTTATATGTTCATCCTTGAGTAAAACATTTTATTCACAGAAATTTATTGAAATCCATGAAATTGTAACTGAATATGTCTAACTTGAATAAAAGAATGAATTAACCATGTACAGGAAGCTGTGTTCCATATTACAGTCCAAGTAAAGCTGATTTTTTCTTTAAAAGACTGCCAGTTTTTACAATGACACTATATATTCATATAGTGGCCACCTTTAGTGTGTAGGATTTTTAAGATAACATATCTACTTTCTGTGAAGTCAATACATGTTTTTTTTATATTTACAGAGAGACTGTGAAGCAATTATCAATATTTTCTACAAAAATGTAATGAATATCAAAATTGAGCATAGTATATTTGTCTAAGACACTGGTTTAAAAAAAACAAAACAGTAATAATTTGAAAATGATATATACATACCTTGCAAGACCATGGCATAGGCTCTGAAAAACTTGAGAACACTGTCATTAGAAAACTTCTTGAGGCCTTCATCAGCAGCAGCTTCCATGTGACAGAAATACTGCTCTCTACAGTAGTAATGAATCTTTGCCTAAATATGATAAAAGTCAAATATAGTTAAAGTCAACAAAAGAATTTACAATTGACATTTTTATTGTTTTAAAGGCTTTTTATTTGAACTAAACGTGGTCTGGCCAGTTTCTGTCATACATATGATAATTATGTATACTAAAATTTACAACTAGGGGCCCAATACTTTAGGTAAAAGTATGAATTTTTAAACTGTATTCAGCTCTGGGAGAGATTTTTTTTAAATATTTGTTTTAAAATAGTGTTTTTACAAAAAAATAATCCTAAATGAAGCTAAATGAACTTTCAAATAAGAAAACAATTTCTTACATCGTTTGTCTAAGAAACTTACTAATTTGATAATGTATTAGAATTAAGACCTTATAAGCCCTGTCAACCCTTCTGTACTGTACTACAGTAAAAAAAAAATTGGGGTTTAAGTTAGTTAAAAATCATTTACTTATTTTTAGTAATGTATTATACACTCAGATGCTAACTAAGTAGTACTATTTTTTTTCCCTTTTGCTTCTTCAGTTCTTGTAATTATGTATTGTATAATACAATTAAACTGTCAATTCCCTTTCTGTTATAGTATTTTACTGCTGTTAAACTATTAGCCCCTACAATATGTTCTGCAGCACAGTACATCTCACCTGTTTTTGTTTTATTTTTAATTGTCACCTCATATTATTTATTTTTCTTAAAATTTACTGCTTTTAGTTAATCCATGCTACAAGCATCAAATGTTTCTTCCTTTAAGATTTGTAATAATAATATGTTAGTAAATATGTTTTATGGTCTTTGTTATTGTAGGTAAACAGCTTAATACTAGCTAATGTTTTTTTTTAATTTTTGTAAATTGACTTAAAATAAAGCTTCTTGTATCTTGTATTCTATAGTTTTAGGCAGTGGCTAGCCATAAGGCTAGCCAAAAGTTCTAGCCGTATGTGAGTCACGTACGGTAAACCAGGACACACTGAATTGTCTACCCATACAGCACTTTTTCAAATTATATGAAAGTGGAAAATGCATACGTTCTTTTATGTCTTTAAGCAAGGATTATAATCAAAAAACAGCTATTCTGTTTGTTTGTTTACTTTTAGAGATAAATCGCCATGTTGGCTACAGTAAAGAAAGTACAAATATCGATCTTTGTCATCTAATCGATCATTATTATAATAATAATCAGGGTTCGACACTAACTGTTTTAACAAGGGATCCCATAGGAATCCCTGAGATTTAATTCAGGGATTCCTCCTAAATGTCAGGGATTCCTCAGATCAAAATAGTAAAATATAAAGGCGAAGAATAACAAGGGAGTGCAGCAATCCGATTTCAAATTCTTTTTTTAAAGACTACATACATGAAATATTGCCTTGTTTCAGATGCAGAAAATGTAGTTTATGAGCCCTTTGGTTTTTTTGTTTGCTTGGATTTTTACGACACATCAACACATAACTGGCCATATATATGAGCCCTTTGGAAATATTGCTGTTTAAAGTTTTAAAAGTGTTTCAAAGTGTTTACTTTACTAGTATATATATAATTGGACTGCTAAGATAAATTAAAACATAATACATTTTTTACATGCACGTAAACAGAATAACATTAAGCTCACCCACTGAACAAGAGTTCGATTTGAAAATAAAACCTGTTTTCTCCCTGGGGTTGATAATTGTGAACCAGTTTCTGTAAATGAAGGTATAATGCAAGTGACTGGGCAATGGGACTTAGGGTTTGAACTTTTGAAGTTAAGTAGGAACTGGGGAAACATTTTCCCAGATAGCCTAGGGTTCACTGAAATAGAGCCAACATATCATCTGTAGATCTTTAAAAACTTACAGGTAATGATTAGGCTCCATATTCCAGTATAACTTTTGGAAAATATTTACTTTCATGTCATTTAAAAAGAAATGTTTAGTTATGATCACTTTAAAAAAATAAGTGATTTTCAGCTTACTGTACACTTTTTGTGTTTAAAAGGAAATATCCCATAGATTGTTGTAAATTAAATATTTTGTTAAAATTTTACTAAAAGCTAAAATATCAAGAAAAAATTTTGTTTGCATTACAAGTAGGGTACCTTCAAATGATTTCGTTTTTAAAAGTAAAAAGTTGCTCCAAGTCCATGACAGGAAGTGTAATATCCAAATTTATTGTTCTCAATTTTTACACTGAAATGTCCGATTCTTTTCCTCCATGTGTGTATTGATTTTTTTTAGTTTTGACAGATGCCACTTCAAAGGCACTCACCGCATACAGCAGTCATGTAGTTCAGAACACTGATTGGCCCAAAGAACTGTCAGATGAAATATACGTGATTTGGTGTATGTTTCACCTAAGGATTTTTCTAAATTTTTTTGTCGGTAAATTATGCGTGACCTTGATTGACCTTAGAACACTTCAGTCTTTAGTTAGACAATATTTTTTAGCATTTAAGGCTGCAGAGTTTCAAAAAGGATTTTAAACTGAAAGTATGGATTCTTTTTATTCTATTTATTATTTATACTTTTGCTGTACTACAGGGAGAAAAAAAATACATCAGTAATCTTTTTGTTTTTTTACGAAAATTTACAATGATCACAAATGCCGAATTTTGGCACACAAAAAAAACAACACGTACTTGTTAACTTCGGTAACGCCGATCTGCACATATTTGAAGTACACACCGCTCGTGTAAAAAATTATACGATAATTATATTTCTTTTTTTGAATTTTCACAACTTAATATTATGAAGTCAATGCATGATATCAAATTATTCAAGAATGTTTCTTTAGCCAAAATATTTTCCATTATATATCGCAAATGAGTTGATAGCAGTCACTGCACAAAGGAAATCTGGCGTACATGATTCAAGAGCGTAGATTTTACCGGCGGGACTTTTCTTTTCTTGTGCCAGTCTTTATTAACACTTTTCTTGAATATTTGTGATTCAATGATATTAATTCAGACAATTTCAAAAATTTACACAGCAATTTTTCAGGGATCCCAACGGAATCCCCAGCTAGGAATCACAGAGATTCCTCCTGACTTTTTGGGATCCTCGGAATCCCGGGATCCCGTTAATGTCGAACCCTGATAATCCTTTTTTGTTTCAATAGGTTTAATTCTCAACACCTTTAAAATGAAAAAAAAGCACCGAAAATAGCCGAGCATCATTATCAAAGTAAACATATGTGGACAAATGCGGGTTCTTGGATAAAATATCCGTTTAAAGATACAAAATAATATACACATTTTCAACATTCATATAATTTTGAAAAAATACCGTACGGCTAGACAATACAATGTGCCCTGGCTAGCCGTAAGTGACTCACGTACGGCCAGAACTTTTGGCTAGCTGTAGTCAGGCCCGTACGGCTAGCCACTTCCTTAGTTTTATCCTCTTTTAAACAACCCTTTTGAACTTTCATGCGATTCTGACATGCATACATGTCTATGTTACTGCGAGGGGTTTGACATTAATCTATCTGCCATTAGTGGCAAAGCTCTCGCGGGTACATAGACATGTAATTAATGGAAGATAGATAAGAGTAAGACAACATCCATAGTAAACAAAAGGATCACAATTGAACTTTTTAGATTTTCTTTGTCTTTGGCTTCTTTATTTATAAACAAATAAATGAGTAAATAAACCACTTAAAACTGAAGGTATAAATGAAAATTTGAAACTAATAATTACAAAAAACCCTTCAAACAAGAAACTTGCATACATGTGGGTGGGGTAGACATTGGATGAAGATAAAAGCATAAAATGCTGTCTTATTTAGCCTTATGTTGTAAAAAAGGATCAGAACTATTGCTTCTCATTTTAATATTGAAGAAGCGTTACCAGAATCTCTCCATCTGCGTCTGACATCTTGAAGATCGGTTAATGATTTACTTTTTTAACACCAAAACAATTATATCAAGATTTACACTGGAATTTCTTTAATGCGCATGTCTAACAATAACTTCCGGTAAATCACGAAAGGATTTTTCGAAAATTGAAAATTTAATCTAACTATAGCTTAATGTATTTTATTTTAAGAATAATATTTTGAATATCTAAATATTGTTTGATAAATGATAAAATGTATAGATATCTGGTTAAACTTTACTCTGATAGAATCTTAACGAATTCGGATTTCACCCTCAGGCGCCAATTCCGTCTGTCATTTTACCGGAAGTTACTCCATGACGATTATTTCAACAAAACCATGTTGCAGGGGAATGTCAATGTAAATTCATTGAGTCCCCTGTTTGTGGTTGCTGACAATCGTGTCAACTGCCCGGGAACGACACGTTTCAGCAGCGATGGTGTTTTTGCAGCTTTGAACTATACTTGTAGGTGTTAGTTAAAATAAACCGCCTATTTACCAATTGAGCCAAAATGAAAGTAAAACTGAAAGTAGAATATAGGACAGGAACATGTGCCACATGTGCAACAGTTATATGAATCGTCTGCATTTTCACTCGTGACTTTTAAAGATAAAATATTTGATTATATTCTTAAAACAGCTTTTGAGATAATATATTTACTCGTATTCCTAAAACACCTTTTGAATGTTCAAAATATGATTTATTTGCAAAATATGCAGAATTTTATCTTGTTAATATAAACAAAATATTGAGGCCACCCAGGACTCTGGAACTAAATGATTCTTTTTTCCCCACTTTCAAACTGTTGGTAAAAGACTGACCGAACAAAAAATATCTGTCTTTTTGGAAAGTTGGACTAGGGTTTCCTGAAATACTGATCCACGGCGGTACTGACTGCCCCAGCTATATCCGGCTGCTTCTTTATAAACATCTTCCCCCTAAAAATTTTATTATTTAAGTAACATATTTGTCCTCATATTTCTCACTGGATCACAGAACACCTATCAGTGGCTCTGCATGTAGCTATATTTTATCATTGCTCCATATTTGGAACCTAATGTCACAGAGTCATAGTGAGAAAACTGGTTCACTTTTAACTTGTATTGACTTACCCCACTTCTGGGAAATAGAGTGAGATTGATTTTGAATCAGTAAATAAATCTATTTGGACATTAAGATTTTAATTTGTATGCACAGTAGAGACAGTATATATTTTTTTTTGCATTTGGTAGTGGGTCAATAAACAATTGTATTCATAGTGTTATTCTGCAAAGTTGACACCTTATGCATCATTTGAAATAAAAGTTACATTATGATTGGTGGATGCTGCAATATCATTTTTTGTGCAGTTTTGACAATATTGTGGTAATCTATAATTAATTGCCAACAGTTACTGTGTATAATAGGCAAAGAAGTACTTTTCATACAAATGTACAAATAGAAGGGAAATAACTGCGTTGAAATTGGTAAATGATAATAATATCAGAGTTGTCACCCCTTTATAATTTACATAAAATTTATATGTATATTTTACATTTTGCCATGATTTTTAAACTTAAAGCAGCATGCCTCCAGGTTCATGTTTATTTTGAAAATGTTTTTAAAATGTTAAATTTTGTGTAGTATACAAAGAAAGTAGCTACACATTGCAAAAGGCACTTTAATCCAAATAAATAACCAAAAAGAGCTCAAAATATGCAAAATAGATCTTTCTGTGCTAGGCATGCAGCAAAAATATGGTGATGAATACAATGTACATGTAGTTACAAAATCAGTCATTAATCACACATAATATGTAAATCATTACTTAAATCTTTACAGTTTACTTTTCTTATAATCTTAGTACATGTTTGATTTTCTTAAAATATTTTGGCTCATCTGGAAGCATGCCACTTTAATAAAGAATATACTACATGTATAATCAGTTTTGTGAAAAGGGTATTTTTAAAAAACAGTTCTTAATAAAAGTGCATATTGCGCTGTTTTGCTCTGCATCTTTAAATTTTCTGTCAGAGAAATATTACATTATTTCAGACGTTTCTGTTAGTAATATTTAAACTTAATTATTATACTTGTTTCATATTGTATAATATATCATTAAATACATTAGTTGCATTTCATTTGTATAGAGCTTTTATAGCACAGTAAAAAACATCTTTAGATTTATATGGATGTGATTCCAAATACAGAATGAATGATACAATACCACAACTTCAATGACATGCTGACTTCTGTAAACATTAATACAAAAGTATAAAATGGAAAATCTGAAGGATTTTTATGATGGAAACTTAAATAGGCCATTAATCAGAATGCACTTAGCAATGTAGTCAATCAGTCAGTGAATTATTTGAAAGGAAATATGCATATTTTCATTTGTAAATGGATAAATGTTAAAATTTGAAAAAAGTTGAATTGTCAGGTTAGCTCAAAGCCAGAAATTATTATTCAATATTTTACACTTGAACTTTGAAACATGAAACTTGATCTTAAACTGCACTTAGGACTATACAAATAGAAAGGGATATTGAGATCTCTTTTAGGAAGATTTAGGTCCATTTATTTGATTTAGGTCCATTTATTTGTCTTTTGCGTCTTTGGCTCCTAGTTACTGCAAATATAAGGTTTTTAATTGGAGAATTGGCAAACCATGTAAATGGGAATTTCTTTGTTTGTTTTAATGTCATGGCATGGTATTTTAAATCAACTCATTGTCTTTGATATAGTTTTAAGTGGATTGTTTCTTTAAATCATACAGATTGCTTCTAATCTAAATGAATTTTAAATTAGATTTTATTTAAATTCTGTGTATTATACTAGCTGATACCAATATTAAGCTGCAAGTTATATTTTTCTTGTCACCATGGTTTGTATTGGGATAGTCTTCAAACTAAGACACCACATGGTGATAATGTATGTAATGATACTTTAGGTGCTGTAAGCAAAGGTTATGGAAATATCTTCAAGTACTAGTGTAAAGTTTTGTAAAAATTCATTTGTTGTGCATCAAGCCCTGCTAAATTCTATGCTCTGTATTTGCCTTTATATTCTGACATCTACTAAGATAGCCATATTAAAGGCACATTTTCCCTCTGAAATGAATAAAAAAAAAATTGTTCTTAAGAATTAAAGATCAATATGATTTTAATAATGTTCAGGTTATCATGTTTATGCTTATCCCCTGAAGAGAGCAGCAGTGAATGTTAAATTATTTGTCATAAAAGTAGTAAAATGTTAACAAAGTAGTACTTTGACTTCCATACAAAATACTGAATCACTATAACTGTACTAATTGCCAGAATGCAAATAAAGCAAAAGAAGGTTCAGGTAAATTTTTGGAAACTATAAAGGACACCCAAGATAAAAAGATTTGAGAAATAGAAATAAAGCATTTCTGGGGCATACTGGGCCTTAAATACTAAAAGCACTGGTAAAACAATTGTGACTGAGAGATATTGCTGTGAGACTTTGTTCGAGCATTATAAGTGACATGGTAGGTGAGGTAAATGAATTTCAGAGTATAAAACTATTATATCTGCTGCCCATAGTTTAGCAAAAAATTATATTCAATTTTGAAAAGAGACAAAAGAAAACCATGTTTGTATATTTCCTTAAGAAAATGCACACAATTATTGCTACTTAAAATAGTAGCATAATATTTTGTTCTGAAACATTTAAATATTTTGTTCTGAAACATTTAAATATTCTGTCTACATACAATGTTCATATGTGTTGAATAACAGAGTTATCTTACGGTATGTTACAATTTATTTGAGAATCAGCCATAAAATAATGAAAACAAGATAATTTTACCATTTATGAAATTTAATAAAATATTTCATTAGATTTAGTATTATATAGAGATCATCAATATAGGCTGAACATTGTTATGCCCCCGCCATGTAATGGCCGGGGCATATAGTGTTACCCTGTTCCGTCCTTCCGTCCTTCCGTCCTTCCGTCATTCTGTCATTCCGTCATCATCAGTTTCCGTTCATTATCTTAGTAACGGTTGCACATATTCAACTCAAATTTGACATATGGATATGTCATGAGAAAATACAGGTCAAGTTCGAATTTGGTCATGGTTCAATGATTTTTGGCAGAGTTATGCCCCTTTTACTTTGAAAATAATATGAAATTTTCAGTTTCCGTTCATTATCTCCCCAACGGTACAACACATTCAACTCAAATTTGACATATGGATATGTCATGAGAAAATACAGGTCAAGTTCGAATTTGGTCATGGTTCAATGATTTTTGGCAGAGTTATGCCCCTTTTACTTTGAAAATAATATGAAATTTTCAGTTTCCATTCATTATCTCCCCAACGGTACAACACATTCAACTCAAATTTGACATATGGATATGTCATGAGAAAATACAGGTCAAGTTCGAATTTGGTCATGGTTCGATGATTTTTGGCAGAGTTATGCCCCTTTTACTTTGAAAATAATATGAAATTTTCAGTTTCCGTTCATTATCTCCCCAACGGTACAACACATTCAACTCAAATTTGACATATGGATATGTCATGAGAAAATACGGGTCAAGTTCGAATTTGGTCATGATTTGATGATTTTTGGCAGAGTTATGCTCCTTTTACTTTGAAAATAATATGAAATTTTCAGTTTCCGTTCATTATCTCCCCAACGGTACAACACATTCAACTCAAATTTGACATATGGATATGTCATGAGAAAATACAGGTCAAGTTTGAATTTAGTCATGGTTCGATGATTTTTGGCAGAGTTATGCTCCTTTTACTTTGAAAATAATATGAAATTTTCAGTTTCTGTTTATTATCTCCCCAACAGTACAACACATTCAACTCAAATTTGACATATGGATATTTTTTTGGAATGCCAAGGTCAAGTTCGAATTGGGTCATGGTTCAATAATTTTTGGCAGAGTAATGCCCTTTTCACTTTGAAAAAAATATGAAATTTACAGTTTCTGTTCATTATCTACCCAACAGTGTTAAATATTCAACTCAAATTTGACATATGAATATGTCAAAGGAATGGGCAGGTCAAGTTGGAATTAGGTCATGGTTCGATGATTTTTTGGCAGAGTTATGTCCCTTTCACTTTGAAAATAATAT